TCTAAATGTGTATATGTATACATCGAATTCTTTATCATCAATTAATGGTTGTTCAAGATAATCTTTATCGTGAGCATCAGCTTCTAATTGTCATTCAATTTCTTCATCTATTTCAGTATCATCAGACATTATTCGATTTGATTCCTAAATTAAAATAAATATTTAAAATTTGTTAATATTTATTTTGTTTAATTAAATTACATCAAGTTTTTTCATTAAAACAGCAACAACAACATTAACAAGAACAAATATAACAAAATAAATCAGTGCTAATACTGTCATTAAATGATTTTCTCCATATTGTGGAAAATCATCTTGACGTAATACATCCCTTTATATTGAAAATCAAATAGAAATTTTACAAAAGATAAGAGTTACTTTCATTATTCCATTCTAATTATCACCAGTTGCAATGCGAAATAATGTTAAAAAAGCCATACCAAAATCTCTAAAATGTGCATGTTTATCAAGTCCAATACATGGACGTTCTTCATTACATTTTAATATTCCAAATAATTCAACACCAAGTGCAGCAAATATGAAGAAAAGAAGAAAAAAATAAAAGATCCTTCATAGAAACAAATAAATTATTATTATTATTAGATTAATTAATAAGATAATATTTTTTTTGTACCAAATTTCCAACTTGTGAAAGAGCTTGAATAACTGTATCTAATAATGCTCGAATACCTTTTGCCATTTTTAATAATTTAAGTACTATAATTAATTCAACTTTTCATTTAGATATTTGTTTCTTTTTTCAAAAATTCATAACAAAGAAATTTCTGCCATGTTTAAATAAATTTTTTCTCTCAACTCAAATCTTTATTTTAGATATTTGACATCAAACTTCAATAATTCATTATATTTTTTCATAACTATTTATTTCACATATCTGTAATGATGTTAAACACATAAAAAACTTAGTATAATATACTGTTTACTTGTCAAATATCTTTTATGGTTTCTTCAAGGGGTAAACAACTGAGACTTCAGCCTTGAAATCTGATGAAGTCTTGTAAAATCTTTTAAAAATTTGAAATCTCTATGCTTGAAATTCGCTGTTTTCCCCTCGAAAGAGTAGGAAATTTTCAAAATTTGATCAAATAGAATGTAAGAGGAATGATGAAATCTTCTCTAATTTATGCCACTATCTTAAATAGAAAAAGAATCTGTTAAACAGCTAAATTATCTGAATAAATCATACAATAAAATTTAAAATTAAAAAAAAACTAACCTCATGCAATTCTGAGTACTCTCATAACATGTATAAGAGTTGGATTAATAGGAAGTATATGTCTACTATTCATTTTTTTCTAAAATAATTCCAGCTATTGATAATATAACTATTGTTATATCAAGTTGATTCCATCTTTATATAAATAAAACAAATAATAAAAAAATCTTTATCTGTTTTTTTTTAATAAAATACTTGTCTTTAAAATAACGTAATGTTCCAAGAGCAATAATCTTTGATATTGATTCAAAATTGTAAATACATAATTACAATAATCAAGAACTAAATCAAATGCCTATAGAATATTTACTAAATTAAAATAAATAATAAAGAAAAACAAAAGAATACTGGTTGGATTAAATAAAATTCTAATGACATAGTAACAACATTAAGACCAATAATAGCATTAATAATTAAATCAAAATATTTACTATTACAAATATTATGCAAACGTCTTCTCCATGGTGAAAAATGTATATAATATAGTATTTCACGCATATGACGTCTTTTTTTGCATGTTTAGCTGTACGTCGAGCTTTTTCTTCACGTTATTATTCAGCACGACATTTATGAAAATCTTCAACAACAACACCAACAAACATATTTATTACAAAAAAAACTAATAAGTAATAAAAATGATATAAAATAAACTAATTTAGCTTGATTATAATTTCTTATTGATTGCATATCAACAGCATCAATATCATTATACGTTATGTATATTCAACTATCTCGAGATGATAATACAAATAATGATAATAATGCTTTTAGTTATATATATTGATATAGATTTATTCAATAAAACATACTTGAACTAAATTATCAAAATTATATTGTTGATTTTTCCAACAATAATCAGACAATGATTCACATTGTTGTCGCGTTATTATATTACGAGCAAATAGACCTTCACAATAATAAAATTATCCTTTGAATAACTAAAAAAAGAAATAGATAATATATTAATCTCTTATCATTATTATAATCAATATAAAAGCTCAACACAGTTACTAACAATATATTTAAATCAATGAGAAATTTTTTTGAAAATTTTCGATATAGACAATCAATATTATTATTGACTTTCAAATTAAGATTTTCTTCTGATTTTCATTTTGAAATTTGATAACACTAATTAGATTTTAAATAAAACTATTAAATTTATTTAGTTATTGATATCGAATCTCTTCTTATTTTTGTTTTTGATCGAACATTTAACACAAATTGTTTATACTTCCAAAAGATTCAGCTAAAATCGGTCAGAAATTTATTCATTGCTTTTCATATCTATTTACAAACTAATACTTTTCTATAATTAAAATTAAAACATATTCGGTCAGTTTGTCTTATGACATAACTTATTTACCTATTGATCACATATAAAAAATTAATAGTGATAGAAAATGTCCAACATCACTACATTTATATGGGTCATTTTCGTACTTTCTATAATAATTAATAGTTTATTATTCGTCTAATATCAAGAGAATATTTAATAAAAGACAAAATTGACATCAACGAAACTATATTTAAGTTCCTTTTACAATTAATAGAAATTTTATTTTTAATAAATCGAATCTTTTTTATTTCACAGAAAATATAGAATTGATTATAATCTATAAAAAGAAAAAAGATTTAATAATTGTATTTACCTGTACACTAAGTATAATAAATAAAAAAACGTACAACATATAACAACAATATAACCAATTAGTCGTAATGATGAAAGTAATGTTTGTACAACAAGTTTAAGACCAGGTACTTGACTGATAACTATAAATAAACAAATAGTCAAATTAAAAATGTAGCAAGATCAATAATTGATGTAATAACAAGAAAACCATCCATAAGATTCCATCCACTAACGTAAATAGGTATGCAATCCAAATATAAATTCACTTACTATTACTTTTGTCAACATTTCTATTGTAAATATTATATTTGTTAAATTTAAAAATTGTCGTTCCTACAAAACAAAATATTTATTTTAATATTTTCTTTGTTTTTTTTGTTTAATGAAAAGAAACAAGAAAAAAACGTTTGTTTCCATACAGGACTTATTGTTGGAATCGATGGATGTTCCATAGCAAGTGTTATACAATTAAGAGCTATTATAAATAATATTAAATAATCAAAAAAAGAAATATCGATTTTCGTATTGTTTTATTACTAAATTGATTACCGATTTTTTGATGAAAAAAAAATATAAAGTGAATAATTTTCTCGTTTTTCAAAATGTTTATATAATTGTTCTTCACATAAACAATTTAAACATAATCTTCGAATTAAAATTTCTTTCGGAGTCCATCTCTACAAATATTCAATTTAATGATAAATATTTAGATGAAAGAGGATTAGTTTAATATTATCGTCAATCAATATTAGCAACTTTATATCAAGACATATTATCGATAGAACAGTTGTTCGAAAAAGAATATTAATTTCAACATTGATTAGGAGTTATTATTGACAAAGTTTTTTCAATAAATGTCTGCAAAAAATTTCGATAAATAGTTTTTAAAAAAATATATATACATTAAAAAAAACTGAAATGATTCAATTTGATGATGAACATCTTTGAGTATTTTTCTTATGGATAGATTCATTGTTTTCTTAATATACTAAAGGCGATCCAAAAGTTTGTAGAAATTCGATATATCTATTTAGGGAAACGATATTCGATCCATCTTTCTGTGTCATATACACGAGCGAATTGCTGTGATATTCCATAGGAGGTTTTATCCTTTTAACTTACTCTTTAGATATTCTTTCGAAGTAAACAATAGGTATTGAATTAGCCACCTTGGTTATTGTTTGAATTTCAATAAGTTTTTGAGTTCTCAAAAATTCGAAGAAGTTTCTAAGTGGCGAACAGATTTTATATGATACGATTAGCGGTTATCAGATATTGATGCGCCATCGCAATATTGGATGAGAATCATTATCGAAGGTTAGTTCAACGAGAGAAACTAGAGTCCATCAAGTGACATTTATTATTAAGAATATCAAAAACAATAATATATGTCAATTATTTCATGAAAATTGACAAATGTAAAAGTTATCGAACAAAATCATATCATCATAATCAAGTTCGATCCACTTTTCATCATAGTGTTTTTGAGCAGCATGTAACATAATGCTATTATTTACTTAAAACTGAGAGGAATGAAGGTAAGATTTGACAAGCGTAGTCATCTAAGACTAGACTTCCAGGCTCTTAGCTGTTGAGATACATTCTTGATAGACTAGATAGTCAACAGCTACAATAATTTAGCAAGGATTATAATCAAGGAGGTCAATTCAATATCTATTGCTTACTTCGAAAGAATATCTAAACCTTTTTTCGTAAATGGATACATCGAAGTTCTGGGAATTTTTGGGGTCACCAGAAATGGGCACGGTCGGATTTTTCGAAAAATGAACTTAACTGAAATTTAACGTAAGCTGAGAAATGCCTTGAAAAACTGTTTTTCGATGGGTTCGGTTCGTGTTTTCTTGAAATCGAACCGAACCGTGCACATCTCTGGGGTCACCCTTAGTATATAAATCTACAACATATTTTCACTAGTTCCATTTTGTAATCTCTCCTCATTAATTAATATAATTAGCAATTAATCTTGATTAGTTAATTCAAAACTATTACCACATATTATCGAATATTTTTAAAAAATCTTTCGAGAATAAATCCAATTTGTTTTTCTAAATAATTAAATTTGAAAAGACAAATAAAATTGAAATAGTTGATTAATAAATAATTAAATACATAAAATGAAAAAAAAAAAAATTGTTATATAGATGTGTAATACTAACCTGAAATAGAGTTTGTTTATTATTAGTATTCATTAACTAATCGAAATGTTTTATCTGAATATTGATAAAAATCATGTTTAGATATTTCATAAATACTTGTTGTTTCAAATTGATTTAAACAACTATTTAAATTATCAAATGTTAATCGACGTTTTTTTTTTGATTTTCTCAATATTATATTTATCTTGTTCAATTAATTTTCTATCATTAATAATAAAACGTCTTGTTAATGATGGTTGATATGGATTTGATGAATTCGTTTGTTTATGATAATAATATGTTCAATGATTTGGATAACAAATAGTTGTAAATGAATTATTTTTAAGTGTTCATTGCGTATAATTTCTATGAATAGGTAATGAAATTTTTGAAGTTTGTTTATCCATTGATTAAATACATGTATGAAAACTTTGTGTTGTTGATGATGATAATGATTGAAGTTGAGATGAACGAATTTAAATTATTGATTTGTATGGTGATGAATTATTTGAATTTGAACTTTTATTTAATTGATTTTCAACAACACGTAAACTTGAATCATTTTTATTACTTATTGCAATTTTTTTTAGTATACTCATTATTTTTACTTCTTGAAATAACATTAAACTATTTTTTTTTATTTAAATTTAGTTCGAGTATTTTTATTATCTTGACTTGTTTGTTTTATGACTTTCTGTTTCATCACTAATTAAATCATGTGAATTATCAGTTATATCAATATCACCTGTAAATAATTTTTCTAACTTTGAATAGATCAACTTTTCCATATCAATTTGAATTACTTCCAGTATCAAAATTATTACTCATTTTCTATTTAATTCAACAATTTAATTAATAGAAAAGAAAATATTTTATTTCTTTTCTTTTTTTTCGTTTACTTCTGTAGAAAATCCTTCAACAAGAATAGCAACAAGTAAATTAAATAAAACATAATTTCCAAATGTCATGAATGCAATAAATTACAAAACTGTTCATACACTTGTATTTTTCATGCCATTGTAAAGTACTTCATTCCAATCTTCTTGAGTTAAAACCTATTTGAAAAATATTTTTGGCGAATTATTATCTTATGTGATTAGCTGTGTTTTAAGCAAGCAGACATATAACAATAGGTATATAGTGTAAAAATTTAAGCAATAACTATACATACATATATAAAGTGAGCAAACAAGATAAGAGATACAAAATTGTTTCCAATGAGAATTTATCGAAGAAGATCGTTCTCTATTATTGTCTTCGGTGAAGTTCAATCGTTTTGTTGCTGTTTTTCTTTCTTTCTTATTAACTATTTAGAAAAAAAAGAAATGGTGAAACACCTTTAAAAATTTTCTAATGAGGCTGGTAAATAGGTTAAATTTGGTGTGCGAGGTAAAATAGTGTTAATATCATTCAAGGGAATAATGTCTAATGTAGGATAGTATTCGAGAAAAGCTACCTGAAAAACGATTAATAATGCAAAAGCTAATGAATCAAATTTTTTTTTTCTGTTGTAAACAATAAAAATCTTTGAGATGAGTGTCATTTTAAAAAAAATCATTTTGATAACATGTACAACATTTACATTTAATATGAATTTCTTTATGTGATGTTATATTAAAGGCTTCTATTGAACAAAATTCATCACCAAATAAATCCATACCAAGAATATTATATAGACATATTTATCAATAATAACATTAAGAAGCAGAACAACAATTTAACTTTAGCATTTTTTTCTTTTAGAAAAGCATGAATAATTAAAAAATGAAGTAAATTTTACTTGAAAAACAGTTGAAATAACCCATAGATTCAAGACGTTTGCTATGTTTTACTTCAATATATTTGCAATCAAAAAGATTCATACCCAATATACTGTAGAAGAGTTTTATTTTTATTCAAATATCTAAACACATTTTGTATTGTGTTTCGTGTTTTTTCTTCTAAACTTACCTGAATATGAATATAAATAGAAGTAATAAAGCGAAAAACTGTAGTCACATTATTCATTGTTTTAAGCATGACAATCTATAGCGAAAAACAAAATCAATTAGATTTATTTATTGAAACTTTTTCTAAAGTTGAGATTAACATAAATTTATATATGAAAATCCTTTCTTAAACAATCATTTTCTGTCTTTTATGCATTTCTAAACATTTAGAAAATTCTTTCAAAATTATTGAATATAGTTATTCAATAAGTTATCATCAAGATGGAAATAAGTATACTCAAATCAGATACCTGTCGGATGTGATAAGAGTTAAAACAAAAAATAAAATAGAATCGATTAGTTGAATATAACATTTCTATTAAAGATAGTTATCAAAGAATTGATAAGTAATTCGCATGAAAAAAATAAAATAAAAGAGAACAACAAAAAAAAGAAAAGGTTGATTACCAATTGTCGTCTAAGTGTTGGCATAAATCTGACAAGTTTAAGTACACGTAATGATCTAAATTTACGTAAAACTGATAATCCACTATTTTTATTTCCTTGTAATTCAATAAGACTCATAATAACAATAGCACTATAAAATAAATTATAAGCCCATTTTTAATATATTAAAGACAGCCATCAGCAATTATTTTTAAAATCATTTCAATAGCAAATAATTTTTGAAATTTATTCCAATAAGACCATATATATTTATTCATATATATTGACATTTTTGACTTTCTTTTTAGTTTATTGCCATCATCTTGTTCTTCATTAATAGTTAATTTTTCATTTTCAATATATATTGACAATAACAATCACATTGATTTTCTTCAAGATATTTTTCTGTATTTTCAAAATCTAAATAATTTGATTTCATTGGTTGTTTATTAATCGATATAGTATTTAATAAAATCGATGGAATAGAACTATTATCTTGATCACAATAAAATGATGATGAATGTTGAATAATATCCATATTATCAAGATGAGCATTTGTTGTATGTATTAAATCTAATATATAAGATTGTTCAGGACTAGCAGCTGGTGCATCACCTATTGATGAAGATAATGATGCGCCTGTTCGATTTGATAAACTATCATCTATTTGATTATATCGACAATTTGATTGATGAATTATTTCTAGATTTGATGATGAATATAAATTCAATTTTGAATGTCAATTTAAATGAATTTCAATTGTTCTGGATTTATCGTTTACAAGTTCTTTTCGACGAGATTTTTTTTTTTTTACAAATTGAACGTTTTTCTTTAACCTATTAACAAATATATAAAAATCTAGAACGTATTTGATTGTTTCATTTTCTATGGAAAGTTTCGAATCTCTTCTTACTCTTTGCAAATATCTTAATGTAATTATAGAATAACTACATTAACCATCATGATTGTTAACTATTAGACGGCTTGTCTACGTAACGCGACACTTCACTGATCAAGTTTCGAAAAAATTCTTTTTCGAGTTGGCTAGATCTGAATAAGTAATTAGAGGCAGTTTTGAACACTGATTACGAATTTGACATTTATTTTGTCCAAAAATTAGATTTTGGCATTGAAAACCGGGTTTTAAACTTTTTTAAAAATCGCATTTTGGGTTGAATAACCAAGAAATTTTTCCAAAAAAAACGAGAAACATACCTTTCGATGCAGAATTTCATTCTCTACAAGTTGATTTATTTAGTTTTGACTTTCGTAGCTAAGGAAAATTTGTAGACTCTTATACAGTTTCTAACTCATTCCGTCCCGTGTAAGCTTCTTCCATGTCGATATATCGATCTCGTTCTTGGGTAGAACGATTAGTTATACAGAAAATACGAACAATTATAAAAATGAAATCATTCTGAGCATATTAAGTACCTCAAAATTGGTCGACAAAAACTATGTCACAGCGTTACGTTTGAATAAGCTGTAGAGAAAATCTTTCGATTCTCTCCTACTAAATATATATTTAAAAAAGTTGATTCGATTAACGATTAACTTGAACAAAAATTATTCTTTAATAAATTGTTCTTAATCGTAATTAAACTATCGAATGTTATTATTGATAAGACAATAAACAATATTCGTCTATTTATATTGAATAAAACAACTTTATTGTTAAGATAATCGTTTAAGATATTTTCGAAGATTTTTTTAAAAGAATTTCCCATTCTTTTCATTAAAATAGATTAACTAATTAAATTTATCTTAAAATATTTCAATCGATCGTTCTATATCAGTTAAATTCTATGAATAGAAACCAAAATAATTCCGATGTGAATAAATGATTTATCAATTTTGAAATCATTTATTAGAACTAAAAACACTCGAATAAATCTTCATGAATTCATATTTCATAAGATATGAAAGAATATGGACAGAAGAATTCAAGCAGATACTATTCGATTTGAAATAAAATAGTCAAATATTCAGTTAGAATAAATGAGTCTTTTTTTTAAATATTTTAGGTGAAAAACAAAGCATTGACTATTTATTTGTTTGATTTTGAAATGTCAACTTTGAAAAATAAAATAATTATTTTAATTGAATACTTTCGTATATAATTAAAATGAAGAGAACTCGATTTAAACTAAAAAAATATAATATTATGATCTAATCGAAAGAGTATTTGCATTCAAATCTATTTATCTATATAGTTTATCCCATTGTATAACTAATCATTAATATACTGTTTAAAGAAGTTAGTTCGATTAAATAATTCCCTTGTCAATCAGAAAGAAAAAACCGGCCTTAGGAGAAGTTCATTTGAGTAAAAATTTGTTGATTAATCTTACATTTGCACAATTTAGTTCATAATTTTTCCAAAAAAATATTAATTCTTTTGTGTGGGTGTGAGACTAAAACTATTAATGATATTCTACCCCACACACCCACACCCTATATATGTAAAATGAAAATATTTGATTAGGTAAATAAATAGATGGAAGATATCGAACGGAGAAAAAAAGATAAAACACAAAAATACAGAATACAAAATGAATGATTGCACAAAGACTACCGATTCAACCGATCATATAAATAAAATAAATAATTGTTGATTAAGCTAACATATTGTTCGAATACTTATTTTCTTGTTAATTTGCACAGTCTTCCTCACAAAAATAAATATTTTAAGTCCATATTGTAAGTGGAGCTATGCTTAAACGGAAAAAGAAATGAAATAACAAATAGTTCATAGACTAGTGAATCTGATCAGAAAATTATTGAAAATGTCACATGCTCTTGTTTTTCATGAAAAAATATGAATGTATTAATCATTGATTAGAAGAAAAATATTCTTTTCTCTCTCAATATAAAAAGAATTTATGATATTCATGCTATGATAATTGTCCAAACTTATCATCCATAATGAAACGGAAAATTCTTACTTTCACGAGTTATCATATAGGTAAATAATCTTCTTTATCAAGAAAATAAATTAGATATTGAATAACAAATCCTTGAATACCTTTCAATGTTTGTTGAGCCTCAAAAACAAAATATAAACATTATTCAAAATATCTATAAAATATATACATTCGCAAATATACTTTCATTGTAACAAAAACTTTTTCATAAATCAACGTATTTTGTTTTGCTACATCTTGAAAATAAGAATAAAATTCATCTGATACTCGATCAGTGACTTCAATGTTATTTGGATTGTCGAATTGAATACCTAACAGTATCCTAAAAAGTCAAATAGTTTTCTATGGAAATCATGGTAATTTTAGATATGAAACATACTCAAAGATCTTTTTACGCCAGCTAGAACAACATTTTCCTAGAAGAACTGACTCTTCATTAAACCAACCATCTTCTTCTTCCAGATCATTTATTACAATACAATATTCACTATCACGATTACCAACTAATAAACGATCATTTATATTTGCACTACCACATATAGTCATACGATCATTAATGATCATTAATTTTGAATGAACATATATTATTTCGATTACCCTGAAGCAAGACAACGAATTTCTGGATAGTATCAATGATAAAATATTTAACTTACTAGACTACCCATTAGAATATCAGGTTTCCCCATACCAAAAAAATTAATATAATCTTTTAGTGGGATTCCTAAATATCAAAAACAAAGTTGCATGACATAGATATATATATTTGAATTATAGATTCATTTTTCAATGTACTCGAAATCGATTCAAAGATATCAATTGCGACAGAAAACCTGATTGTATTCGAAAAAATTGTTTCATTATGCATTAGTTTGTTTTCTAGATTTTACTCTATTTGGGTTTTCCTGACTAGAAACAACAAGAAAATAAAATTGTATTTCAAATAAGTTAAATAAATAGAAATACGCTGGACATAGTTTTAAATTAAAGCATATAAAGAAGACCGTAAATTGATGGATTTCGTCATCAAATAACTGAGGTTTACTGGCGATGATGTATTTAAAAAACAACTGATCTTTATTCTTAAAATATTGATTTATCATAATAGAATAGTGTACAGCTTGTACAGTATTCGTTTTATCAAAATCAGGTAACAGAGGAAGAATAACATAAAGATGAAATTTTTTAGCATTTCTAATCAACCAAAGAAACTGTTTAAAATGTTATAGAATTAAAAAAAATAGTTCATACTTATGTGCTCGTTCTATAATACGTCGAAAAAGAACATTAGCTAATTGGTTTTGAACTACTGAATCTTGAACAATAGTAATAAATAACAGATTCTAAATACGAAATAACAATCAAAAATTGTTTTTGTTTTTATATTACTCTACTTCAATGTATATAAAATGTTTAGCAATATCAATCATTTGTATATAACCATTATGAATCGATAGTTTCTCTGATTTCGTTCCCGCTGACCATGGTCCAACTGACCGAGCATACTAAATGCAAAATTCGAGTGAAAATAGTTTTTAAAATGAATATTGATCTAAAATAATCACTTACTTGAACATTTACACGAAATGGCTCACTTTTAAGAAAATCCCTCCAATTTTCAACAGCTAAGTCTTGAACATCATCATGAGATTTAGGTAACAGAAATCCCTAGAGAAAGTACTGAGTTCAGGGTACCCATGTACTGAGAAAGCTCTAGCAGGGTACCCATGTGCTCAGAAAGCTCTAGCAGGGTACCCAGTAGGGGTACTTTGAAAATTCTCAGTAATTTTACTGATGTATGTACTGTTTGGGGTACCCGTAAAAGTACATTCACTGAATAAGTACCTGCATGGATACACAAGTCTGTAACTTTACTGAGAAAATCTCGACAGGGTATCCTAAATTTTTCGCGTTCTGTGTGGCGACTATTCATTCACCGTTTTCTTTTTTATGCACGCCTCTATATAAACAACTCGATAAATCATAAGAAAATAATCAATTTTCATACTAGTTTTTTCTAAATTATTTCTTGACTATTTCTTAGTCGAGGAAATGCCGAGCTTGGTCGTAAATTAAGATCGGACTATCCTGAAGTGGTCTACGACCAACTCAAGTTGAGTCGGATCCCGACATTTTTTCTGCTAAGTTTTCGGAATTGAAAAAATTAATTTGAATAAAGTAAAAAAAAAATCTAGTAAATTATCTCAAGAAAAAGAAAAAATTTTAAAAAGTCAAAGATCAGGTTCGATCCTGAACATACTGAAAATTTGGTAACAGGGTACTTAGAAATACTATACAATGGTACCCAATTCAGTACTTGATCAGTATCTTTAGGTACCCAATTACTGTGCATTTTCCAGCAGGGTACTTGCCAAAGTACCACTTAGGTACCTGTAAGTACCTGCAAGTACTTTGGTACCCAAAAGTTCCTGTGACATACTGGTATCAGGGTACTTTTTTGGGTACCCTTAACTCAGTATATTCTCTAGGGATGGATAAAAATCATTTTTCAGATATGTTTCACACTTAAGAAAAAAGACTTCACAATTAAAATTTAAAAAGTATTTTCTCGCTTTTCTGATAAATTCTATTTTCAGCGAATAAATTCATAACCGAACAATCAATTAGTTTCTTACGAAAGCAATTGATTACTGTCTGAATTGGTTATGAGGTCAAATAGTTGTCAAAAGATAACAAGAGTGTGAGTGGGTGTTTATGTCAGTTTTTGATGCTCATTTCATTTGTAGCCTCATGGACATTTCATTCTAAACCATCATCAGCACACTCTAGAAAACTTAGAGATTATACTTAGATGTGTTTCGAAGTTGTCAAGCTTGGTCGAAGGATTAAATGAAATTTTCAAGTTGCTAAATGTGTTACTGTAAGTGTCACGATATGGATTTGGATCGAGAACAATAGAACTTGAGTATGAATCAAACAAACTACAACCGTCTCTCGTATACCTATACCCATATCCGAAAAAATGTTACAACTTTTTGGCCATGCTATGATATGTTCGGAAGGCGTTGTTCTGCGACGAACTCGTCGGTCATCATAAAATCTACATCTATTGGTATCTGTTTTGTGAAACATCATCTGAACATAGTTTTGAAGTACATAAGGTAGAGATTCGGACGTAACTCTTTTCCTAACAGATCATTCGATACAAGATCACCGTTTATACATCACAGTATATCGAAGAAAACAGTATGCAGATGATTGCTAACAACAGCTACATCATGTTTCACATTTTAATCCTCCAGAGATTGGTCTAACAGCTGTTCAATCAAGCTATAGATTTAACTAATTATATTTGATTCGATAGTCTTCGGTTATGAATATTCCATCGTCGAATAAAATGTCGTGCAACATCTCGAGCAGTTTGACCAAATACAACTAATGCTTCATCATGCCATGACATACGTGGCACTAATATTCGTATAACACTATTTACAGCATAATTTACATTAGTAGAAGTAACATAAATGAACAAAACACAGGAAAAAAAAATAAAGACCTTCTGTGAAATCTTTTTGATATACATTTGAATAATTTTTTCCAATAAAATATCGATGTTTTCTATCAGTTGCAGATGTTGAAGAAGTATCTGATTATTGTTCTTTAGGAATTTTTTCATCGTTAGAGTTTTCATCATCTTTTCCCACTGTCTAAATAAAACAAAAACTTAGATTTTGTTTTAAATTACTTTTTAAAAAGTCTTTCTATAATATGTTGAACTCACTTTCGAAGAGTTTCAAAAATCGCATAGAATTAAAAGTAAAAAATATTATTTACATTGAGCAAAATATACTTTTTTTTCT